CTATTTTAACATAGGCGCTGTTCATTTGACTATGAGTAGCAAGTCGAAATAATCAATTCAAAAGTAGATCATTATTATCGAATTATTGTTCTGACAAATATTTACGATAGATATTACTATGCACGGAATTAATTGATGATCTCGGTTGCCGCTCATTGTCGAAGTGTAAAATATACGAGTGTTTGTGTCGGTAATAATGAGAGACTTACAATATGTATATTCGGTGATCTACTTCAGTAGGATGCTATGAGTGGATGCTGGTTTTGTCACCGTGGTTCGCTCGGGGTTCCTTGCGGCTATTGTTCCGCCTCTGATTTCGCAAATGTTCGCAGAAGATCGGAAGAAAAGTAGCGGTCCATCTCGGAGGTTCGCGGAATGAGAAGATCAATCGGTCGATTGATGATCACTGACTCTAATATTGACTTTGATTTTGAACTATGATTGAATTTATTGTTGAAAAACTAAGTTAAAATTGAACTGACTAAAGATTTCGATCGCAATGAATGCTAATGAAGACGATTGATTGATCTGGCGATCTAAGGTCCAGACCCTTTTATATGCGTGCCCTGATTCCCCTTTTTTATCGTCTTCCCTCGAAATCTCGATTTCTTATTCGCTAACTCTCGGGAGCGAAATCCCTCTCCGAGATTGATTTCCTGGATCGGTAGGGCTATCGTTTGTTTAAATTTTGGTTATCTGTACGTGCCTTATCTTGTTTATATGCGCTATGTCCACGGCTCTAGCCTCTTGATTTACGACTTCCCTTCTAGAGTTACAAGAGCTGTGGCGGGTTGCCGGGAGTCGCGAGTGTCCGCGCTTCTATAAAAGGCAATTGTCCGTTAAAAATTTCCTCTCAAGGGTCGATAAGGTTTGTTTATTAATCCAGGTGCTCTAGGCTCAATTGTGTATAGTGGGTTGTTCGGCGCGGTTGTTCGGCGCGAGTCTGTCTGTCATATGTCATCCAGCTAGGTTTTGTTTATATTGCGTCGTTCGGTTCTATCCTGTCTACCTTATCTCGACTGACTCTCGTTTCTCTTTCCGGGAATTCGTTGCAAAGATTATTCCTTAGAATTACCGTTAGACTTAATAATAATATTCCGTTACAAAATGAAAGGGCCCGTGTAGTCCAAGACGTAACATATAAATACAAGAGGTAGTTTTCACCCCTAAAGTTGCATCATTGCCGATATAAAACAAATACGTGTCTATTATTTTTGACTACTCTACAAGTATAGCAAGTTTCAATAAAATTGGCAATTAACACAAAGGTAGGTTTTTACTTGTCAGTACTTCCTATCTTTAGTTTAATTTAGGTATGATTATAATAAATCCATTTGCGAAGCACGTATTTCTATTAACTTTGAGGAAGAACATTACAATTTTTGTAATTCAATTTTTGTAATTTAATGTAAATAGTCACTGAAAAAGATCCTAATATAAATCGAAACGTTTTACGTTAAACATTGTACAAAATTCATTTAAACACGGACATCTTGTTTGTGGCTCGTATTGGCTTTCCTTTTACTTGCATTATTATTAAGATCGGAAGATGGTTCCTATAATTGCATATTTATCTTTGACTTTATTAACTTGAATAATAATGATACTAAAGGGAAATTCTGAAGTTTTGTCATATCGTATACACATTACTATATTTTTTTAACACGTTTTGTGTACAACCGATGGTACATTAAATTTTCCAGCTTATTTATGCTATAAGCTTATTTATGATATAATGAAATATGTTGTAATAAAATATATCAGTCTTTTAGTCAAAACATCAAATGGTCTGAAGTCGAGCAAAAACAACTTGACACGGAACGTGGCAAACTTTGTTTTCCAAAATTTTTAAACTATTTTCCAAACTTCGTGACTGATCGCGAAAATGCTAGAAGTGTCTACATGTCGTATTCGACGAATTTTGATTCCAGCGTCGTGTTGCTGCACGCTTCATCATGTATATATACGTGAAATAACACATAGCTGCAAATTTCATCGTGTGTTATCCCACGCGATCTATTTAAGCCAGCTTGATCTTGCTTTACAGTTTTACTATGTTTTCATTGTAGCTTCGCGTTTAATCACAACTAGGCGATGACAATTCCGCATTTGTCAGCAGTCACTTTCAATAGTCTTGACTGTCGACAGGACTGTCGTAATTGTAGCCGTCGTCCTCATTTAATTTTCGCAATGATATGACAGTAAGACGCGCGATAGCGCGCATCCGCGAAATAGATAACGATGCTTCCTGACACTTCGCAGATGCCACGCAGTCTATATAACGGCGTAAACATCCGCAAAGTGCGAGCGCAAAAATTGTGGCTGCAGTTCTGGCCGAAATTGCACCGCGCGAAAATATACCGAAACGAAATCCAAAACGAGCGGACTGAGCTTCTGTTTCATGAGTTTGACCTTGCTAGCTTTGTACCTTGATCCATACTTAACGCGAGTTAGCGATAAGCGGCTCTATAATCTCCGACTCGCGGATTATAGCCCGCTGAAATCAGCCGCTTCTGGACACAAGTAAAATTAGATTTGCCTAATTGTTTTTATTATACATTTTATTTATTTCGCACAAAATGCAATTAAATAGGATTATAATTTGAGAAGCTTTAGGTATATATTAATGCCAATAAGATACTTATTGTCATTGCTAAGTGTTATTATTTAATGTCATGTCACGAAAAAAACGCATTTTTTAATGAAATTGATAAACACAAATAAAGCTATAGATATATAGAGATGATTAGATATGCTGTATAAAATATATAAAAATATTGCGTAGGTTTTCTAGCCTCGTGTACTTCATTTAACTTTACATAAAATTATTTTATTAAACTTTCACTACAAAAACTTAACTAATTGTGTTTATATAGTTTTATTGACTAAAGCACAAATTTTCCGCCTGTCTAGCCACCAGTTTTACTTTGTTTTTCAACAAAAATAGTAACGATAGGAAACGTTGAGCTCTTTCAATCTTTAAGCAGCAATTAACAGCAATTGGTCAATACCTATGCGCGTTTGAAAAGCTTACAATAATAATATACATATGACGCATTTCAGCTCATTTTGTGTTTATGATAATTGCGCGTGTGTGAGAGACGTGTGGACATTAAATTGGTTTTATTGCTACATGTAGCACTTTCCACAATTGCATAGCGCAAGTTACGAAAGTTATAAAATTAGCGCGATCGATATGCGCAACTTTGTTGATACTTGTTTTGCGGCCGGAAAAACCGTTTGTCGTCTAGAGTTTATCTTGCGATGTACTATCGCGTAAAATAACGAGAAAATTGTTGTTTCATTTTGTTACATCAAAATCTTCGAGTTTGAAGGATTATTTAACACTTAGTTTATGTGCTTTGAATGAACGATTACTGTGTGTTAACTGTTTCTATTTAGTATGATTCTATTATTGATTTTTTCTTTTTTCTCTCTTTTTTCCTTTTCTAGTTTTTTTAAATTCAATATAATAAATTGTAATAAAAAAACTATTGTTTCCTAGTTTCAATAATTACTTTGTAACTATAAAAAATATATTTTGTAAGAATTGAACAACATTTCCAAGGAAATTATTTGCGTTTGACGGTCGTGAGCAGATCTCTTACTGCATAAAATAACGCGATGGTTGTTGCAGGTCGAGCGTAAGGAAAAAGAAAAATTAGACACGTGCTTGTCTCAGCGTCAATAAAGTTGCATAAGGTCGTTTATTTATAAAACCGCTTAGAAAAATACAGGGCGGAAAGAGCCATGTTTATTTATAGTTTCTCGCCTCTCCAAGATTATAAATAAATAATTCCAAGTATGCATTTCAACTCCTGGAATATCATTAAATAATAATGTATTATTACAAATTTTCTGTAATATATATTGTATTATATTGTTAGTTTAATAGAATCAAGAATGATAAATCTCTGTAAATTTTTGTCGAAGAGATTATACACGACTGTCGCGTTTATCCTATTGTAAAGTGTTGGTCCGACCTGCTTGTGCGATATGGACGATCAGCACTGTGCGACGTACATTACCAAAGTAATTTAAATGCATTTGATAAGGACCTAATACAAGGTCGAAAACGTTAATGCTACTAAGTTTCAATAAACATATTTAAATATTCACACATCAACAGCAGTGTTTTACTTCAATAGCCAGAATACATTTTTATAGAAACATTTCCTTTCTTGCAGAAGAAAAAAATATTTTAAGCAACAATTAACAGCGATTGGTCGATACCTATGCGCGTTTAATTCTTATAAATCTATAAGATGTAAACGTCGCTTAGTTTTGTTTGCATTAAAAATATTGCAAAAATATAAGGATCTATTAAATAAATAAATTTTCTTTTAATAAAGAAAAAGGAAAGATTTTTAAACGGAAATCTCTGTTTAAAAAATATTTACGATGACAAAACTTTATTGTCAACCATTAGTCAACCAGAAGCTTTCCCAAGTGACGTGAAATGGAGATTTAAAACGGCGCAATGAAGTTCGTGCTTTATGTGTCAACGAACGCCGAGATAAAAGTTCATTCGGCCTTACCAGGAATTTATTTTTGACGGAAGATTGGGAGAAATCCTAGCATACTTAACTGTGAAATAACGCAGGACATATTTCTGTATATTCGTTTACGATAGGAGAACACAAATGTTATTCAATTTATAATCAGATAATTTGCATATATTTGCACAAGTAGGTAACTACGATTTTTTCGACGAAAACGTTGAAGAATTTAAACATACGGCGGTTTTGAACTACAACAAAAGTGCATTTGTTAGGCAACATAAATACGATGACTTTACAGTCTCTCGCGATTAAAACGCGCAAAAGCGTCACGTTCACTTTTCATATTAGATTCGAGTTGATATTTAAGAATTACAAAAACTTGCAAAATTCTCGAAAACTGTCAAGTAGATTTTAATGTTTATTACAATTTACCGTGTGTTTTAATAAAGAAAAAATGACATACATGGACTAACATTTTTGTCGGTTTTATATATGCAGAAAGCCCGAATGGCTCGCATCAAACTCGCCAAAGCATCGAGCGGCGCTGCTTTTCTCACCAAGAAGAGACAAGCGGAGGCGCGAGCTGCCGTTTCCGGTGGTGCCGGCGAAGGTACCGCCGCTGAGAATAGAGACGACGAGAATGCGGAGAACGTAGAGGAAGCGCCCAACGATCGGGACATCTTCGAACTGCAACATCATCACCTACTTCGTTGCCTAGAGAGAACTACGGTAAGTACCAATGCGCACGCCGCGATCTTTGTAAAAGTGATAGTGTAGCGTCTTCTTTCTCGTTCCTTCCTACTGCTTTGATTCTGAGGCCTTTAATTATCATCGATAAATTAACTTCCGCAACCGAGAAAAGGTGGACTTGTCCCGCCTGGCAATTAAAAAAGACTCCGATGAATAATGTAGTTAAAAAGTTATACGATAAACGATGTAATGTTCCACTTGCGTGGCGATATTTTCCGAGAGAAAATTATTAAAGGATAAACAGATAGAAGTAACAAATGACTATTATACAGCAATATCGTGAGTACTTCGTAAAAAAACTTGTGTCTAACACAAATTAAAAGAGGCAAAGTTTTCAATTTTATAAAGATTAATTTTCCTATCGGATTTATTACGTGTTCAAGTTTCTTTGATATTTTGCGTGCGCAAAGTGCCGTGATGAAGATCAAAGTTGCAACAACGGAAATAGATTAATCACTAGGATGATAATTAATTATTCACGAGAGCGACGTTCTTTCTGCCCTGCGGACGACGAGAAACTCGCGCAAAAAACCCGCGATCTATTTCCACAAGCGTTCGTCATTAATTCTCGCCGATGACGCGACAAAGCGACTGCATAGTCGTGCAAATGCATCGTTGACGCTTCCGTTTTCTCGCGTCGGAAGATATTCAATAGACACACCACACTTTGCCTCGAAAATCAGACAGTAAGTTCTGCAAGAATATTGCGCTCGTGCGCGAGAGACTGCCGGAGTAATTTGAATAAACCCTCACCTCCCTCATCTCCCGTCCTTCGGGCTCGTCTAATTTTAGCCCGGCGAGAGGTTGACACGAAGGGTTGCCGCGTACGATGGGGTAGTGGTCTCTATCGAGCCCGAATACTCGTAAAAACCAACTCTTCGTTTACAAAGCTAGCGCTACAGAAACGTGCTATTGTAAGGTCGCGCGTATGCAAGGTGTTGCACAAATCCCGTAGAGAAATTTCTCTATGTGTTTCGAGTGTCAGGACCGCGAGTTAAAGATATATTAAATCGCAAACAATGACGAATAAAATACAGCATTGAAAAAAATGACGTAAACAAGAAAATATTTGCAATGACATTTTACTTAAAATATTACAAATGCAAAATGAACAATATAATAGTAGTTTGTTATAAATTATTACTACTAAAATAAGTGATTATTACCAATGGTAATAGCCTCGGCTGAAGCTGAATAAAGTTTTCGAAGAATTCAATGCAATTTCATTCAAACTTCAATTTTACAATTGTTCTTTTTTTTTACTGTATTATACTACATAACAAAATAAAAATTATAAACGTAATAATGAAAAAAAATAGAAGTTGTGCGGAAAAAGTGAAATAAAATCCAAATAAAGTAATCAAAGGAATTTGACTCTGTGTTTGTAGATGAATTTGTAAGAAAATTTTCAGTCATGGGAAAAGTGTATGTCATCTCCCGAGATGCAGTTTTACTAACGAATATATGTGCATTCGCGCGCTTACGTGTGTACAAGTTCAGTTGCGATTAAACCAACCGCGACATGTACGACGCGCGCATTGAAGAGATTATAAATACACGTCGCGGTTTATACGACGGCGTTGATGGCGCGAGCGTTGGTTGTGTAATCCAGGCCGGAGGGAGAAATTAGTTTATTACGCCAGAGGACCGGGGCTTGTGTGACATGCCTGAATATATACAGGTTTCTAGGCGATACGGGTCAGTACGTACGGAAGCTGAGTATAAATTGATACGCCGAGATCGATGACCGATATTTTAAGCAGGCCAGTCCCGTTGAAAACTACACGAAGGACTATAAAAAAATTTCCGTTACAATACAATAGTTACAACTTCGGCAGTTATATGTAGAAGATAGATATAAAATCTGGGAAACTGTAACTATATATCTGTATTCGATTTTAACTTAAGAAAGTAAACTTGAAAAAGTAAGCCATTGTATATATTGATAAGAAGTTAGTGTTACGACAAGTACAATACTTAAATAAAAGAGTAGAAATGACACAAACAACTGTTTATTGTTACTATTTTATTATTATGAAGTTTTTTAATTGTTTTATTATTAATCTCCGAATTTAGGAGTTTAGAAAAAATAAGAAACAAATAAGAAAGTTAACATAGTTTCAAAAAAGAACAATTATTATTATATGTTTCGTGCTCCTTATATGTTTAAATAAAAAGATAGGGAGGAGGCAATAACAAGCTGTGTATCTGATGTTCGGGTAAAATTCTTTATTTCGTGGATTTAACAAAGATGCAAACGTTTTGATCCGCTATGTTTTTACGATTGAGACGCAGGATGGAAATTCTTTGAGCTTTTTAGACGTCAAATTGATTGTGTCTAATAACGAGACAATCATGTGCAATTGGTATATAATATAAGCCTACGTTTTCGCGGGTAAGTATTTAAATTACCACTCTTTACACCCAGTCTCTCAAAAAATAGAAACCGTTATCGGAATGGTAGACAGAGCTCTGTTGTTGTCTCTGTGTCACCTGTGTTTCATACGATAAACATAAACTTTATAATCAACGTCCTCATCTCCAACAACTATCCGTTGGAAATAATTTTTAAAGTTATCAATGATTGTGTAAAATATCTGATTGCGAACAAAATTAACCGAAAATCGGACAGTTAGTGTCCACGCCAACTTTAAAAACCGTCAAAACTTATTTCGTTGTACCTTTTATCAATAAATTATTGTACACAATTTCGAAATCGTTTAAAAGGGGAGATAGAAATTTGTTAGCTTATAGAAGTCTCAATAAATTGAATCGTTTTATTAAAAATATTAAAGATCCGATAGAAATTTAACAAAAAAAACGTAGTTTATAAGTTGCAATGTAATGATTGCGATACTTTGTACGTAGGCGAGATCATGAGAAAACTCAAAACTAGGGTTTACGAACACAAAAATCAGATCAATTGTCACGCAGAGAATGTTTCTGTCGTTACACAGCACATAGAATTGATACAGACCACAATTTCAATTGGCAAAATACCAAAGTTTTAAACACAGAATCTTTATTTTTCAAGAGATCCGTTTCCGAGATGATACACATCAAATTACAAGGCAATTCAATTAACGTCATGTCGGACACGGACAAGCTGAAACCGTATTTTTCATTTTTGGAAAATTACAACGCGACATAATCATTCGCTGTTCGTTTTTAAGCGTTATGGTAGGATGGGGAGACCGTTACATGTACCATGAATGTGGGAGGGGGACTGCTCAGTCTGTCGGTTGTCTTCGAAGTGGGAAAATGTTTCGCGTCTTCTTGCGCATGACTGATGGTTACTGAGTTGCCATTTCTCCCTCTCTCTTTTCTTCAAACTGAGTATGTTTATAGCGTATCTTTTCTGTATCTATATTCGGTAATTATTGAGTATAGGGGATTAAGGTCCGATGACTTTGATTTTGATATATGTTGTAAAAGGCACTCTCTTGAGTAGTGTTCAAGAGGGTTTAGGCGGCGCTCATTTTGTATTAAAAAAATATTAATCGAGAATGTTTGAAAAACGCGACTTTTATTTTCCTAAATAATGTAGAATAATGAATCGGAATACACATTTGCTCTTAGGTATCAGTTCTTAGAAAACATTCAGGGTTACTGATACAATTATACACATTTATAAGTGGTATTGTTGACTGTTACTCAGTTTATGTTTCGAAGCGTGACATAGCTTATCTATCATTCCGAGCAAAGTTTGACATATGTGCGAAATCGTTGTGAAAGGCAAATAACTTTCGATATGATGTTCCATGAATTTCTGTATATGACGCATAATTATTCTCAATTAATATCAATCAATGACTACTTTTTTTATATTCTTCTTGTTCGTGTTGTAAGCATGTAGGCAGGAGGCTGCGCCCCCTGCAGGGGAGAGGCTACGCCTCTCCAACTGCACCTCCTTTGAGCTACGATGCTTCATTACTAAAACTTTTTCTTAATAATTTTTTAAACTTTTAAACTTTTAACTTTAAACTTTTTAAACCTTCTTGGTATAGTGAAACTCCGTTTATATGTACTCCAGTTATATGAACCGATTTTTGTGCAATGCCTGATTAACTGAACTCTAGCTGAGCTCTTATTATCTGAACAACTGCTGGTAGTTCAGATAATAGGAGCTCAGCTAGAGTTCAGGAGTGAGGCGACCTGCGACGCTCAGTTGTTGATCGCCGAGCGTCGCACAATGTCTAAAATGTAAACATTAACAATACGTGTTGTACAAAACACTCTTTTATTCAAAATTAATCTTACTTCTACGCGTTAGTCTCAAAGTAAAACTTACAACGTATCTCACGACGAACATGATTTTAGTAGTTCAAACCGTAAGAAACGAACTGTACTTAGTCTTTCTAATAAAAACAATATACTAAAGAGATTGAAAACTGGTGAGAGTGCTACTTCTTTATAAAATGTTATAAAATAAAACCAATTGAATTTATATACCTTGAACGTCTACTTCTATTATTTGAACACCATCGATAGTTCAGATAATAAGAGCGGGCGACGCTCGTGCGGTAGATGGTGGGGGAAGTAGGTGAGCTCTTATTATATGAACTATCCAGTTATGTGAACTCTTTGTCTCCCTTCCGGTTTATATAAATGGAGTTCTACTGTATTTGGCTTCTGAAAAAAATCGCAAAACATGATAAGCTCAGAGAGGTGCAGGTGGAGGGGCGTAGCCCCTCCTCTGCAGGGGGGCGCAGCTCCCTCTGCCTACACGCTTACAACACAAACGAAATGTACGTGGAACCGAAAAATAAGAATTCAGTCATGAAACTTCTTCCCCTTGTAACTTTTTAACAAACAACGACCCCCGCCTAAAACCTTCACATTATTACTCGGAACAATGTCTTTGACAACATATGTACAAATTATTCAAATCGGAGGTGGCTCCCCTAATTTGCATAATTACCGAAATTACACCTCTAAACTGTTTTCGACGGTCATTTTTCTGATCATATTTTTCAAGA